GCCCAAGTGCCCGAGCCCCTGCAGACATGGATGACGCCATCCTGGCATCATGGTCACTTGGGGAGTGAACTAGCAAACAGAAGGTTCTCTCTGTCTCCTCACCTCGCCCCCTGCCATTCTCTTTCCAAATAAATAATAAAACTAAGGTTGGGGGGCGGGACGGGAAGAGAAACTATAGACAGAATGTAAGGACGCCATGATATTCCCATGCTACCTCTATCTACAAGGTCACAAGTTGTACTTTTCAGTGAGAACTGCTTGCTTGGGGCCCACGTCTTCAGAAGCCAGGGCCTGGGTCCTGTACGTGGTCAGGCCAGGCTGGCTCCCAGGATGCTATGTAACTTCTGCTGCTGGTGAATTTCTCTCTTCCTTGTCCCTTACTGGGTCTGAAGGACTTGGCCCAGCTGCCACTGCCACCCCCAGTACCTAGCCCACTGCGGTCTCGCTGCTACAATCCAGAAGGTGGAGCAAATTGTCTTGTTTTGCCAGCACTCAGGGGCTATTACTGTTCCTTCTAGTCTACACCAGCATATCTCTGGCTATGGCAGAGAGAAGCATGCAAGGAGACTTGGGAAATTCTTTTCTTAGCATCTTAAGTCACACATTTCCTACCTAGCATTCCCTGTGGCCTGGCCCAGCTGTTACTCCTGGAACCGTCCTTATCCCAAAGCTTCATTAGCCTGAACCTCAGTCCCACTCCCAGCTTCATCCCCTGCAAGCAGAGAAGTGTGTCCCTACTTGGGAAGGCGAGCAAGTGTGGGGATTCTGTTCTGGACTCGTCAATTCTGAGTCCTGGGTGTGCACCACCCGGACAGTGTGCTGTGTACCAGTCTCTAATAGCACTGGGGGTGTGTGTTGACTGTTGCAGGATAAGCAAGCAATTACTGGGTCTGTGTCTGGATGCCACGTCATGACTGGGTGTGTGGGGTCGGCTCCCCTGACCTCTTACTGCCTCTGTTTCCTCATCTGTGGCACTGGGAAGAACGCCCTGGACTGGTACTGACCAGATACCACAAGCCTAGTGGACAGACTTTCTGGGCTGCTGGCCAGCTGGAATTGGCCAGGTCACAGCCAAGAGCTTTTCTGGAGGACTTCTGCATGCTTTTGTGGAAACACTGTGCTAGCAGCTGAATTGTGTCTCCCCGTGGTGCACCTAAGTTGAAATCCTGATCGGGCTCCCCAGCGCCTCAGAGTGTGACTGCATCTGGAGATAGGAAAAGAGAATCAAGTTAAATGAGGTCAACAGGCTGGGCCCTAATCCAGTTCTGTGTTGGTGTCCTTGTAAGTGGAGCTGCTTAGGATACAGGCACCCCCAGAAAGAGAGACCATGTGAGGATGCAGAGAGCCAAGGCAGAGACCTCAAAAGGAATGCACCCCACTGATCGCTTGGTCCTGGACATCAGCCTTCAGACTGTGAGAAACATCCCTGTGGTTGAACCACTCAGCCTGCAGGTCGCTGCTACGGCAGGCCCGGCAGTCGCCGCCAGTGCCCATCGGTGTCTGTTGTAGCAGTAAGAATAAGCTAAGAACACACAGCTACAAAGTGTTGGGCCCAGGCAGCACCGTGGCAGTGCCAGGGTGACCATAAAGACCATTTACATCCCAGTAGAGCAAAACAGTGCATTGTCCATGGTTTCGCTCTTCAGAATGTAACAGGAATGGCAGAAAAAGTAGGCACTCTGGGTGGGCTCACCTGTCTTTTTTTTTTTTAAGATTTATTTATTTTTATCAGAAAGGCAGATTTACAATTAGGAGAGACCAAGAGAAAGATCTTTTGTCCATCGGGTCACCACCAAGTGGCCACAGTGGCTGGAGCTGATCTGATGTGAAGCCAGGAGTCAGAAGCTTCTTCCAGGTTTCCTACCAGAGTGCAGGGTTCCAAGGCTTTGGGCTGTCCTCTGCTGCTTTCCCAGGCCACAAGCAGGGAGCTGGGTGGGAAGTGCAGCAGCAAGGATGCGAACTGGTACCCATATGGGATCCTGGAGGTTGCAAGGTGAGGACTTTAGCCACTAGGCTACCACACTGGACCAGCTAGACCGGCTAAACCAGCTCACCTTTCTTGTCCACCCCACTCTTCCAAATGTCTAGGAGGGCTCCTCAAGCCCCAGGCATTCCAATGGCAGAATTCATCCAAATGGATTTTTAAGGTCTCCAAAGTACCATTCATAAATCAGTTAGAAAGTATCCTTTACAGTGTCCTGTGATGACCACAGTTAGTAATGCTGTCCTTTCTGCGGATCTGGTCACAGCTTTCCCTCGGGCAGTATGTCAGCTCATACGTTTTCTATTAAACTTGTCTCGAAATGTTGTTTGTTAGCATCTTTGTTCCTGCTTGTCACCGCTGTTGTGTCCCCTGACGTGTTGTGTCAGCTGACTCTTGGCTTATCCCAAATGCTGGTGATCTGAGGTGTTCTGGATCTCGGATGTTTCTGGAATTGGAGATATTTGCATCTGCAAGAAGTCCCTACTAAGGTGTCTCGAGAATGGAACCCAGGGCTAAGAGTGAAATTCAGCTGTTTCGTATACACCTTGAACGCACAGTCTGAAGGGTGCCTGAGTCAATTTTACTGCACTTCTGCTGGAACTGCCACTTGTCATGGCAGTCAGGTGTGGAATTTGCTCCTGGTGGTGTCATGTTGGTGCTCAAAAAGTTTCAGATCTAGGGGAGTTTAGGATTTCAGATTTTCAGGTTAGGAATGGTCTACCTGTACTGTCTGCATTGCGGGTTAGGAAGTTACCGAAAGAGCCCTATGTCGTCTCGTGGTGAAGCTCTACTCTCCTGGACTTGACATTGCTTGCAGGGGTGGCTTCTGATCTCAAGAGGCACATGGCTTCCCACAAAGCAAGACAAAGGAGAAAGCTAGCGTTGTGGCACAGCCTGATGCTCTGCGTGCCTTCTGTGCCTCCCATGCCCTTGGTGGGGGTGATGTGTGCGCTCGGAAGTCTGTCTGCGTGCCTGCTGGACATCCCCCCTCCAGGGGCAGCCCCACTCTCCGGTCAGGACACTCATAGATGCTATCTCTCTCTTCCTCTTTCCCATCACCTACACATGTGCCAGGCAATAAAAACCAAAATGGCAGTCGAGTTTACGAGTGGAGCTGCAAGGAAAGTCCTTCAGTGTCATTTTGGAGGAGAGGGAGAACTGTGCGTGGCTGCAGCTCCTGTCTGATCAAAGCCCGCACATTGACTGAATTCGTAACCGAAGCCGAGATGGGTGACCCATCTCCCGGGAGGAGCTCCGAGCAAGGCTGGCCCCACCTGGGCAGTGGCTGAGGGGCTTCCCTCCACCAGAACATTACAGGGTTCCGTAGGTTTTAAGGAGGTTACCTTAGAGCTTTTCACATTTCTTCCCTCAAGAACAGAAAGAAATACATTGCACAGCCCTCACACACGCAACTGAAGCCGCAGCCGTTATCTCACTATAATTGGAACACTTTTTTTTTCCCCTCTGTCCACGTGCCCCGCCCCCAGAGTCCAACACACACCTGAGGCTGCTTGCAACCCCTTAGAGGGGTTTGTTGATCCACTCGTGGTCCTTGAACCAGCCTATGACCAATCCTGCCTTTGACTTAATCTCTGAGCTAATTTTTGCTAATTCACTCATCGCAATCTGTTGTAGGAAACCGTCTGCTGAGGAAATCCAAGAAGAGAAGAAAGGAAAGCTGTAGGTTTCTTCTTGGGAAGTTGGCTGTGCTGCCAGGCAACCAGGGAGGGTGTGGGGCGGGGACCTGGGGGCAAGGCACCTGGGCTGACAGGCAGCCTGAGATGGACCTGGGACGGTTGGATCTTCCGGTTCACTTAGTCCAGCATTTGGCCTAATAGGACAAAACAGAAGACGTGTGTGTCTGTAAGAAGTCTATAGGAAGTGGAATTGAAAGATGAGCTTGTTTGCATGGAGCTCCATAACCTGCCTCCTTATTGAACTTTCCCAAAATCTCTCACATGCACAGATGCCAAAATTTTTGCAGTACAATAAACTTAGTTTTTACTTCCATTTTTAAACCAGCTTTGTGAAAGCACCCACATACCGATTTTCACCATTGTTTTTCTAGGGGTCTTTTTTTTTTTAAGATTTATTTATTGGAAAGTCAGGTATACAGAGAGGAGGAGACACAGAGAGGAAGATCTTCTGTCCGATGATTCACTCCCCAAGTGAGCACAATGGCCGATGCTGTGCTAATCCGAAGCCAGGATCCAGGAGCCTCTTCCGGGTCTCCCACACGGGTGCAGGGTCCCAAGGCTTTGGGCCGTCCTTGACTGCTTTCCCAGGCCACAAGCAGGGAGCTGGATGGGAAGTGGAGCTGCCGGGATTAGAACCGGCGTCCATATGGGATCCCGGGGTGTTCAAGGTGAGGACTTTAGCTGCTAGGCCACACCACCGGGCTCTCTTTCTAGGGATCTTACCACCTTTCCATGCTGGTACCTCTGTTTTTTATGAGGAGAGAAACTGATGTTAGTCGTTCTCAGCTTTTAGTAACGTTCCGGCTGCACAGTGCCCTTGCCAGCATTTGATTTATCTGACGGTGGTTATACAAGGGTGCATGCATTTGCTGTGAGCTTTTTATGCAAACAAAAAAGTACATTTTAATTTTTTTTTAACCAAAAGAGCTTTTAATACAAACATTGTTTTTACTGCAGAGGCAGCATGCACGAGAGCATGCCCCCGTGGGAGCCGGCTCCTCCAGAGAGCTGCAGAAGCAAGGGTAGGGTCAGAATGAAGCTGGGGTGGCTGGAGACATTCAGTCCAGGTCTCCCTAGCAGGTAGCAGGAGTGTAGGTGGCATTTGCAGGAAGCTGGAGTTAGGTGCCGGAGCTGGGAGCGGAATCCGGGTACTCCGGTAGATCAGATGTCTGAGTTCGTTGGCTAGGTGGATGTTGCCCCCCTAACCCTGGTGTCTGCGAAGTACCCTCGTGGTTGGTACCCACCGGGGACCTGCACCCGAGGCCTACTAGGCAGGAGTCAGCGACGTGCCCCTCACTGAACCCCTTGTGTCTCCACAGGCCTCGGCAAGACCCGCCGAAAGCCGAGCGCTCGCGATGCGTCCCCGACGCCCAGCACGGATGCTGAGTACCCTTCCAACGGCAGCGGCGCCGACCGCATCTACGACCTCAACATCCCCGCCTTTGTCAAGTTCGCCTACGTGGCAGAGAGGGAGGATGAGCTGTCGCTGGTGAAGGGCTCACGGGTCACCGTGATGGAGAAGTGCAGCGACGGCTGGTGGCGCGGCAGCTACAACGGGCAGATCGGCTGGTTCCCCTCCAACTATGTGCTGGAGGAGGCGGATGAGGCGGCGGCCGAGTCCCCCAGCTTCCTGAGCCTGCGCAAGGGTGCGTCCATGAGCAATGGCCAGGCCGCACGGGTGCTGCACGTGGTGCAGACACTGTACCCCTTCAGCTCGGTCACCGAGGAGGAGCTCAACTTCGAGAAGGGAGAGACCATGGAGGTGATCGAGAAACCCGAGAATGACCCCGAGTGGTGGAAATGCAAAAATGCCCGGGGCCAAGTGGGTCTAGTGCCCAAAAACTACGTGGTGGTCCTGAGCGACGGCCCGGCCCTGCACCCTTCGCACGCCCCGCAGATCAGCTACACGGGGCCGTCCTCCAGCGGGCGCTTTGCTGGCAGAGAGTGGTACTACGGCAACGTGACGCGGCACCAGGCCGAGTGCGCACTCAATGAGCGGGGTGTGGAGGGGGACTTTCTCATCAGGGACAGCGAATCCTCGGTAAGTGCCTGTCCTCACGCGCGCACCAGGTGCCCGCTGCCACCCACTCTTGGACCACCTGCCAACCCCAGGAGCCAGATAGCAACAGGTTCCAAGATTCAGCTAGGGTTTATTACGGCATCATGTAATTGTTCCACCTTACTTTATGTCTTTCTTCACTTACTGTGCCTAGCTTACAGGTTTAACTTCATAATGGGGGGGGGGGGACATGATATAAGGGTATGTCAAGAAGGAGATGGAGAAGTTAATTTGATGCAAAAATGTAAATTCAGTGCCCAGCTTTTTCATAATATGCATTTTCTCATTGCGCATTTTAGTGCTAGAATGGTTTTGAAATCCATGCATGCATGCTTTTTTCTAATGTGCGTTTTCATCCTAGCTGTCTGCTGTGAACCTCAGAGGAGAAAGTTACGAAGGCTTCATGGAAAACCTGAAATCTCATTAATGTTCCCACAGTTTTACGAAGTCTTCCCTTGTATGGGATTTGCCACGAGAACCCACAGGGGCCTTGAGTCCTCTCCCCCTAGCAAAGAAAAAAATGACCACATGGCTATTGTCAATGATATGAATAAGCCGGGACTAGCAAATGAGTCCTGGGGGCTCTTACTCAGCGGGGTGAAGGCTCAGAGGCAGTATAAGGTTGTAGCCCGGCATGTGCCGTACTTGGTATATGCCTTGGAGCTGGTGAGTGGCCGTTCAGTGGTGCTCTTCCTGCAGAGGGCAGGATCGGATCTGTCCTGTGCTTTCCTGCTTAGGGAAGTGGCCGTGCCTGTTGGTCAAGATTGCCCCCCTCCACGGCCACGGGCATTCTCTTTCCTCGCGGTTGGCAGTTGTGCCCCCATGAAAGACGCTGGTTTTACTTTGTTTCTGCATGCCGTGGGCAGGCATCTGGTTTCTGATGCAACCTCTCATTGATCAGCTTGTTTTTTTCTCTGTGAACCTCATCAATCCCAAGGTCGTTTGTGCTGCAGGCTTTGCTGCTGAGTTCATCTCTGCAATGCTTTTCGAGCACTTACGGGCTCAATGGGAAAGCGAGCTATGGTTCTTGAGAGTGGAGTTCTGCCCTAGGTCGCTTGACCGTGGGCAGAAGGGCCACTGCCAGCAGGGTGCAAACTGGGGGTTTGTGTCTCAAAGAACTAGGCTGGTGTCACACAAGGCAACCTGGCTGTGTATGTATTATGAAAACGGGCAGTTTTGTAGGTACCTTTCCAGATATACCCCCTACATTGTCCAAATCCCAAAGCAAGAACTCTAAGGAAAAAATCCAATGCGTTCAAATAGCACTGGTTCTAATAGGCTTCAATGCCCTTAGGAAATGCAGGCCATAAGCCAGTAAGAATGGGGTACTTAACAAAGTTTGTGAGTGCAAATATGGGTTTAGCCTAGCTGTTAAGACTCCCATTCCTCATTTCCAAGTGCCAGGCTTTTGATTCCCGCTTCCTGCCACCACACACCCTGGAAGGCAGCAGGCTTGGGTAAGGGGCTTCCTGCCCCTCATGTGGGATACTGGGATTGAGTCCCGCACTCGGGGCTTCAGCCTCAACCCAGCCTCAGCTCCTATGGAAGTTTGCATGGTGAACCCTAGGATAGAAGTTCTTTTACTGTGTCTTTGTCCCCACCGCCTTTCTGTCTGCCTGCCTCACAGACAAATAAAATCTTTCAAAACTCTGTGGGAACTGCAATTTTAAAAATGTGTGTGTTGGTGCCTGGTATTTTGAAATCCATACCTAGCTTTCTTACACGATGGTTTTTCCACGAGCTGTTTGAAGACCCGTTGTATGCCCCATGTCCTGGCACTGTTGGGTCTGAGAAGGCTAATCCCACGCTAAGTTACAGCACGTTCCAGGTTCCTGCTGGCTGATCCTGGGGGGAACTGGGGTCGTCCTTTGATGCAGCATGGTGGAAACCAGGCGTATTTGTGGTCTCAGCGGCTCCACTGAGCCGAGCGCAGCCTCAGATGAGCCTGAAAGCTAACTGCATTGGAAATGGGGGTGCTTTTCTCATCAGGCCAGTAGAGCCGATCATTTCTGTAAAGGCATCGCATGAAACCAATCTCAGGAACGTAAACTCCCTGCTGCGCTTTCTGTGGACTGCGTGGGAGGACTTCAGTGAATGAAGGGCAGCAGTGTTATTAACTGGCTCAAGCAGAAACTTCTAGAAAGCACTGCACACCCAGCTACAAGATGAAACGCTCAGGCCGGAGTGCCTTACAGAGCCACCGAGTACCATCCTGACTTTCAAGTTAGGAGTATCCCAGGCTTCTTAGGAAACTCAGGAGCTGCAAAAAGATCATGGTATGGAGAGAACTGGCTCATTTGCTGCCCTTTCTGTCCTGGACTCAGAGCAGAGGTGTTCATGAGAAAAGCTGCCTACAGGCTGCTGCTCAAGTAAGGGTGGTGGTCACTGCTGTATTTTGTCAGCATTACAAGCCTTTCTGGATTTTTTTTTTTTTTTTTTTTTTTTGCCTTCTGCATTAAGTCTGAGGGGTGTGCATTTGGCCAGGCAGTTAAGACTGATCAGAACACCCACACCCCGCATGGGATGCTGGGGTTGGTAACGCGCCTCTGGCTCCTGACGTCAGCTGCCTGCCCTTGCAGGGCCTGGGAAGCTCTGCTGGGGGTTCAGTTGGGTTGCTGCTATTCACATACTCCTCCCCGCCATCGTGCGCATGTGCAGTGAACCAGCTGATGAGTGCTTGCTCTTTCTCCCTGACTCTTTTTTAAGTGAGTCACTGTGAAAAGAAACTCAAGATGGGATTTTTCCCATTGTGTGTTGGGCCTTGGACGCTAGGGGTGTGGGTGCAGAAAGGCCTCCCTGGGCCTTGCAGCGACCGTGTACACAGCAGCACCACCATGGGCTGAGGCTTCGCGTGACCTGGTGTGCTGTGCGGGACAGCCTCTCCCTGAGCACCCTTGCCATGCCTCATGCCATTTCAGCTGCCGATGTGCCTGCCTTGGTCCCAGGGTACAAGCCAGGGGGCTCCAGGGAGTGTTCGCAGGCCAGGGTTGCTGGCTGCTTGTTTGTGGCCAGGTCTTTGCCTAGGGACCCCTTGCTTACTCTGTCCACTGATCCCCCCCACCCCCCACACCCCCGGCTGCTTCATCTCCTGCCCATTGTCTTTGTTCTGTGCACTTGACATTCCCCAACTTAGAGCCTGGTTTTCGCCGATGCTACCTGGTCATCCAGAGGTCTCAGGTTCTTTGTGGAACATGATGATGGGTTGCAGTGTCTGGGGACAGTAGGGCTTTTGAAGGACTCAGCTTTCCTTCAGAGGCTGCATCTTGGTCTTGGGGTCTGGGATTTTCCCTCGATGGATGCCTGGCTTCTGAGTAGAGCACAGCAGTGGGCGGTGAGGTACATCTTCAAGTTGTCTATCGTTTTCAGCAGATCCCAAGAGAGGAGCTGGCCCTGTGGCATGACTAGTAAAGCTATCTCCTGTTTTACCAACATTCGGTATGGGCACCAGTTCGTGTCCCAGCTGCTGCACTTCTGATCCAGCTCCCTGCTGATGCACCTGGGAAAGAAGTGGAAGGAGGCCAGATGCCTGGGCTCCTGCCACCCATACATGCGAGATGACCCAGATGAAGCCCCCAGCTTTTGCCTGGCCCAGTTTCCAGCCATTCTCATCATTAGAGGAGTGAACCAGCAGGTGGAAGGTTCTCTAACTCCGACTTTCTAAATAAATTGTAGTTCCTTTAAAGAATATTCCAAGTGACTCTATTATAAATGAGCCAGATGGTCGGTTGACAGTATTTTGCATTTAAAATTATTTCCTGTTTTCTTTGTTTTGAGGAGTAAGAGTATGTCCTGCTCTTAGATGTTTTCTTTGTTTTGAGGAGCATTGCCTCTTGCTGCTGTCAGGAGCACATGTCGGTTTCCAGAGTAGCTGTAGAGTGTGGCCCTCTGTCCCCAGGGAGGGCCTTGGCGCAGGTGCTCGGCAGATGGGTGTGGTGAAGTTCACTGGCCGTGCCGTGTCACCTAGCACAGGGGCAGTGCAAGTGGCCTCTGTTCCTTTCCTAACTCCAGATGACAGCTCCTCCTCCAGCTCCCGCCCTCCTACCACCTACCTGATATAGGCTTATCGCTCCTCTTTGTTCCAGGAAATCCTGGCTGACTCGCAGGCCATTGCTACATGCTGCTGGATCACACTGTCCCTGCCATTCAGTGTCATGGAGCAGGTGTTTTACTTGGCCGCATCACCGTCAACAGTCATGTCAGTGCACGGACAGAGTACAGTGTCTTTCTTACTTGGTGGCCACCATGGGACTCCCACCAAGCAATGCTGCACACTTCAGGCTCTAGATGAGCTGTCCAGAAGAGGCAGATCCTCCTGTGGTGTGCACACAGAACCAATGTTAGGGCAAGCTTCTTAGCAGTCCTGCAATAATGAAATTAGCAAAGAGATGGACTCATGGAAATTGGCAAGAGTGAGGTGTTTTTTAGCAGTACATGAACACATACACACAAAGAGATGCAAACCGGATAGGGGGCCAAGGGAAGATGTGGGCCACTGGCGAGCATGCCCTGGCTACTCCATGAGACTGGTCTTGTGGTCGATGTGGTTGGGATTAGTGCCATTCAACAAAAGGGCTCAAGGGAGGGAAGTTCTGTTGCCACCTGCAGCCCGATGCTCTCCTTCCCTCCCGGGCAGGTACACACGATTCTCCTTAGACAGGACCTGTGTGCGCTCCCCATGTGGCAACAGGGAGGGATATTCTTTGAGAACAGTGCCTTTGCATGAGTGTGAATGGTTTGGTGTCCTGGTTAGTGTGGCAGGAAGGGCACGGGCCAGGCTGAGAGTTTCTAACGTGCTTGACAACTGCTCCCCTCATAGCAGACTTCACAGAGGGCCCCAGGCCCAGCAGCTGGGACCAGTGGGTGCTGCAGCAAAACACACTTGAAAGCTGGAGACGAGGTGACTCACAGAGGAAACCGCACCCACATCAGCCAGCAGTAGCCTTGATGGAAGGTTCAGTGATCTTCGCTGCCTGAGGCCAGTT